TAACTTAGCCTCAGTTTCCTGTTGTCAACTGACAGGAAGTGAACTGTAGCCTCAGTTTCCTGTTGTCAACTGACAGGAAGTGACCTGTAGCCTCAGTTTCCTGTTGTCAGCTAACGGGAAGTGAACTGTAGCCTCAGTTTCCTCTTGTCAGCTGACAGGAAGTGACCTGTAGCCTCAGTTTCCTGGTATCATCTGACAGGAAGTGACACCTGGCACGTTCACCTGCTTCAAGGCTGGACGTGTTCTGGTCCAGAGATGGTTCTGCAGACTTTTGCTGGAACCAGCTCTTGTTGTCTTCTTGTCATCTCCAACCAGTCTGACCTTTGACCTCTGCCATCAATAAGGCTGGATGTTCCCTCTTTTGAACCATTCTCTGTAAACCAGAGCTGGTTGTGTGCAAAGATCCCAACAGATCAGCAGGTTCTGAATAATCAGAGCAGCCCGTCTGGTACCAACGAGCACGTTGCATTCAAGGTCACTGAAATCTTCTGTTCCCCGTTTGACCTTCAACAAGTCGTCTTCGTCACGTCTACCTGAAGCCACGGAGCTGCTGTCCTGTGATTGGCTGACTGGATCTTTGTGTTAATGAGTTATTTTAACGAGTGGAGCTGATGAAGTGGACCTGAGTGTGCATGTAGAACTCTTTTCAAACTGTCCACATCTCCTACAGAGCCGGGCATGGGCCGGAGGCTGTCGTCTGCAGCACAAATTCATCCAACACCTGATGAAACATCTGGAGAAGCCTGAAAGACGAGCAGAGAGGGTGGAGGAGGTTTACTCCGTCCTGGCTCTGGTGCCGTGGAGCTCTCCTGCGAGTGACAGGCAGCTGGAGGTGCTGTGTGAAGCTCTGTGGGCAGCCAGAGATGGACCCCTTAACGAGGAGAGGGTCCTCGGTGCGCTGCTTCGCCCTCGCTGCGACACTCTTGTGTCGGTGTACTGCTCCACATCTGTGAGGCTGCAGAGAGACCATCTGCTGAGAAATGCACCAGAAACACAAGGTAGGAGGTCGAACATGGAGCTTTTTAGAGCGTGCGCCTAATATCTCATGTCGTCACTGGCTCAGCATCCAGTCCAGCCCATTCAGGATGGTTGTCCCAGATACGCAACCAGAATGACTTGAACTCAGTCAGTTTTACAGATGCACAGCTAAACTCCGGTGTGGTTGGAGCTGAGGGTCATTATTAACACAAACTCTGAGATCTAACAGATTAACATGATTTACAAGATTTGACCCAAACGGCCACAGCGCCGTTCCTTCTCATCGCGAGATGATTTCAGGTTCAGTCATGCTCCCAAGACCCACTTTCTGTAAACTGGCTTTTGTGACGATATTTGTTAGCTTAAATATGCAAATAAATAAAATAAAATAGTTTGTGTTTTGGAATCTTTGAGGTTAGACTCTCCCAAAAAGTTTGAGCCTTTAATAATTCAAACGTATTTATCTATGGTGCTGAATGTAGATTTCCTTATGTTTCATTGATCGAGTGCAGGTTTCCATCAACTTATTAAAAAGTAGTTTTCTTTTCTGTTAAACATGAGGGGGCCGGATGGAGACTGTCCAAGGGCCACTTTTGGCCCTCGGGCCACGTGCTGCCCAGGTCTGGTCCAGACCTTTGTGCAAACTTCTCATCAGCGACAGAGATGAGTCTGTGCTTCAGTTAAATCTGAGCTCCTGTCTGATGTTCTTCACAGGTTCTCGTTTGTCTCAGAGCACCCCCACTTCACTTGTTGAAGCTGAAGCTTTAAAATAAATGCCACTACTCGTTTCCTGTTTTTTGTCTCACTTCTGTTTTTGTGGCTGTGTTGCAAACTTTATCTGATGTTCATTTTCAGTGACGGCTCAGATTGAGCTCTTTACATTTATTCTTTATTTATCTTTAAACCTCTGACCTTTGGGTCCTGGTCCAGTACCTGATGGACTTGTTTTGAACAAATTGTTCTGGGCTTAGCAGGGCTGCCCCCCCCCCCCCCCCCCAACAGATCCATCCAAAGCACGGCGGTACTGACTGCGGCCAAGACCAAGCAATGAGGTTCCGCCTGAGTGTTTGTCTGCACTGTTAGCAAAATATCTATATATCGAAATATAACATGAGGGTGAGGAATATGAAGCGCCTCAACAGGAAATCAGGGGCGTGAACTCTGTTGAGGCAGTGGTGGAGCAGAGAGATGCTGTGATGGACACCACCCTCTGCACCCTGCCTCCATTCAGAGGAGCTGCTCCTCTTTTGTTGCTCGGACCATCGAGCTGCAGCACGTTTGTCTTCAGGGGTTGAGACATGAAGGGACGAGGACGGCTGCAGCCCCTGAGGAGGGTGTTTCAACAACTGCAGTACTTTAATTACTACTTGTGCAAAATTTAAAACAATTCTGCAACTTTCAGCTGATTTCAGCTGTTTTTTTTTCTCCTTTCAGCTTTATTCAGCTAAGTCCAACATTTTTGTGCTTCTTCTAACTTATTTCCACTAATTCCATCTTGCTATGCTCATTTCAGCTTATTCCTGTTAAATTCAGCTATTTCTGCTATTTCAGCTACTATTTAGCTATTGTTATGCTAAATTCATCTTTTTCAGCTAATTCCACATTTTTTTGCAATCATTTCAACTTTTTTTTGCCTAATTCAGCAAAATCATGCTCTACCCACTTTCCTTCTGGTAATTTAAACTTCTTTCTCCTTGTTTTAGCTATTATTCTGCTGTTTTGGCAAATTTCAGCTTTTCGCAGATAATTTCCACTTAATTGTGCCAATTTCTGCCTCTTTCAGATTTAGTGAACACAGTTGTGGTCACTTCACTTCCTTTTGGAAAGTTAAACTTATTTTTACATTTCTTTAGCTGCTAGCTTTTTAGGGGAAATGTCCATTTTTTAAGATAATTTCCATATCTGCTTTCTTCTGCTAACTAGGCTTGTTCTTCCTTTTCAGCTACATTTCAGCATGTTTTTAGCTACTTTCAGCAGGTTCTTCAGTAAGAAGCATTCACACTGCATTTTCGCAGGAAATGCAAAGTCTCTAGTTACTACTACTACTACTACTACTTAACTACTACCACTACTTAACTACTACTACTACTACCACTACTTAACTACTACTACTACTTAACTATTTAACTACTTAACTACTACTTAACTACTACCACTACTTAACTACTACTACTACTTAACTACTACTACTTAATTACTTAACTACTACTACTACTTAACTACTACTTAACTACTACCACTACTTAACTACTACTACTTCTTAACAACTACTACTTAACTACAACTACTACTTAACTACTACTACTACTTAACTACTTAACTACCACTACTTAACTACAACTACTACTTAACTACAACTACTACCACTACTACTTAACTACTACTACTACTTAACTACTACTACTACTACTT